TTTTTATCATAAATGGGTGTTGAATTTTGTCAAAAGCTTTCTCTGCATCTATTGAGATGATCATATGGTTTTTCTCCTTCAATTTGTTAATATGGTGTATCACGTTGATTGATTTGCGTATATTGAAGAATCCTTGCATTCCTGGGATATACCCCACTTGATCATGGTGTATGATCCCTTTAATGTGCTGTTGGATTCTGTTTGCTAGTATTTTGTTGAGGATTTTTGCATCTGTGTTCATCAGTGATATTGGCCTGTAGTTTTCTTTCTTTTTGACATCCTTGTCTGGTTTTGGTATCAGGGTGATGGTGGCCTCGTAGAATGAGTTGGGGAGTGTTCCTCCCTCTGCTATATTTTGGAGGAGTTTCAAAAGGATAGGTGATAGCTCTTCTCTAAATGTTTGATAGCATTCGCCTGTGAAGCCATCTGGTCCTGGCCTTTTGCTTGTTGGAAGATTTTTAATCACAGTTTCAATTTCAGTGCTTGTGATTGGTCTGTTCATATTTTCTATTTCTTCCTGATTCAGTCTTGGCAGGTTGTGCCTTTCTAAGAATTTGTCCATTTCTTCCAGGTTGTCCATTTTATTGGCATAGAGTTGCTTGTAGTAATCTCTCATGATCTTTTGTATTTCTGCAGTGTCAGTTGTTACTTCTCCTTTTTCATTTCTAGTTCTATTGATTTCAGTCTTCTCCCTTTTTTTCTTGATGAGTCTGGCTAATGGTTTTTTAATTTTGGTTAACCCTTTCAAAGAACCACCTTTTAGTTTTATTGATCTTTGCTATCATTTCCTTCATTTCTTTTTCATTTATTTCTGATCTGATTTTTATGATTTCTTTCCTTCTGCTAATTTTGGGGTTTTTTGGTTCTTCTTTCTCTAATTGCTTTAGGTGCAATGTTAGGTTGTTTATTCGAGATGTTTCCTGTTTCTTAAGGTAGGATTGTATTGCTATTAACTTCCCTCTTAGAATTGCTTTTGCTGCATCCCATAGATTTTGAGTCGTCGTGTCTCCATTGTCATTTGTTTCTAGGTATTTTTTGATTTCCTCTTTGATTTCTTCAGTGATCACTTCGTTATTAAGTAGTGTATTGTTTAGCCTTCATGTGTTTGTATTTTTTACAGATCTTTTCCTGTAATTGATATCTAGTCTCATAGCGTTGTGGTCGGAAAAGATACTTGATACTATTTCAATTTTCTTAAATTTACCAAGGCTTGATTTGTGACGCAAGATATGATCTATCCTGGAGAATGTTCCATGAGCACTTGAGAAAAATGTGTATTCTGTTGTTTTTGGATGGAGTGTCCTATAAATATCAATTAAGTCCATCTTGTTTAATGTATCATTTAAAGCTTGTGTTTCCTTATTTATTTTCATTTTGGATGATGTGTCCATTGGTGAAAGTGGGGTGTTAAAGTCCCCTACTATGAATGTGTTACTGTCGATTTCCCCTTTTATGGCTGTTAGTATTTGCCTTATATATTGAGGTGCTCCTATGTTGGGTGCACAAACATTTACAATTGTTATATCTTCTTCTTGGATCGATCCCTTGATCATTATGTAGTGTCCTTCTTTGTCTCTTCTAATAGTCTTTATTTTAAAGTCTATTTTGTCTGATATGAGAATTGCTACTCCAGCTTTCTTTTGGTTCCCATTTGCATGAAATACCTTTTTCCATCCCCTTACTTTCAGTCTGTATGTGTCTCTAGGTCTGAAGTGGGTCTGTTGTAGACAGTAAATATATGCATCTTGTTTTTGTATCCATTCAGCCAACCTGTGTCTTTTGGTGGGAGCATTTAGTCCATTTACATTTAAGCTAATTATTGATATGTATGTTCCCATTCCCATTTTCTTAATTGTTTTGGGTTCGTTATTGTAGGTCTTTTCCTTCTTTTGTGTTTCTTGCCTAGAGAAGTTCCTTTAGGAGTTGTTGTAGAGCTGGTTTGGTGGTGCTAAACTCTCTCAACTTTTGCTTATCTGTAAAGGTTTTAATTTCTCCATCAAATCTGAATGAGATCCTTGCTGGGTAGAGTAATCTTGGTTGCAGGTTTTTCTCCTTCAGCACTTTCAATATGTCCTGCCACTCTCTTCTGGCTTGCAGAGTTTCTGCTGAAAGATCAGCTGTTAACCTTATGGGGATTCCCTTGTGTGTTATTTGTTGTTTTTCCCTTGCTGCTTTTAATATGCTTTCTTTGTATTTAATTTTTGACAGTTTGATTAATATGTGTCTTGGCATATTTCTCCTTGGATTTATCCTGTATGGGACTCTCTGTGCTTCCTGGACTTGATTAACTATTTCCTTTCCCATATTAGGGAAGTTTTCAACTATAATCTCTTCAAATATTTTCTCAGTCCCTTTCTTTTGCTCTTCTTCTTCTGGAACCCCTATAATTCGAATGTTGGTGTGTTTAATGTTGTCCCAGAGGTCTCTGAGACTGTCCTCAGTTCTTTTCATTCTTTTTTCTTTATTCTGCTCTGCATTAGTTATTTCCACTATTTTTTCTTCCAGGTCACTTATCTGTTCTTCTGCCTCAGTTATTCTGCTATTGATCCCATCTAGAGTATTTTTCATTTCATTTATTGTGTTGTTCATCATTGTTTGTTTCATCTTTAGTTCTTCTAGGCCCTTGTTAACTGTTTCTTGCATTTTGTCTATTCTATGGAATAGACAAGATTTTGGATCATCTTTACTATCATTATTCTGAATTCTTTTTCAGGTAGACTGCCTATTTCCTCTTCATTTGTTGGGTCTGGTGGGTTTTTATCTTGCTCCTTCATCTGCTGTGTGTTTTTCTGTCTTTTCATTTTGCTTATCTTACTGTGTTGGGGGTCTCCTTTTTGCAGGCTGAAGGTTCGTAGTTCCTGTTGTTTTTAGTGTCTGTCCCCAGTGGCTAAGGTTGGTTCAGTGGGTTGTGTAGGCTTCCTGGTGGAGGGTACTAGTGCCTGTGTTCTGGTGGATGAGGCTGGATCTTGTGTTTCTGGTGGGCATGTCCACGTCTGGTGGTGTGTTTTGGGGTGTCTGTAGACTTATTATGATTTTGGGCAGCCTCTCTGCTAATGGGTGGGGTTGTGCTCCTGTCTTGCAAGTTGTTTGGCATAGGATGTCCAGCACTGTAGCTTGCTGGTCGTTGAGTGAAGCTGGGTGCTGGCGTTGAGATGGAGATCTCTGGGAGATTTTCGCTGTTTGATATTATATGCAGCTGGGAGGCCTCTTGTGGACCAGTGTCCTGAAGTTGGCTCTCCCACCTCAGAGGCACAGCACTAACTCCTGGCTGCAGCACCAAGAGCCTTTCATCCACACGGCTCCTTAATTTGGGATGATTCGTTGTCTATTCATGTATTCCACAGATGCAGGGTACATCAAGTTGATTGTTGAGCTTTAATCCGCTGCTTCTGAGGCTGCTGGGAGAGATTTCCCTTTCTGTTCTTTGTTCTCCCAGCTCCCAGTGGCTCAGCTTTGGATTTGGCCCCGCCTGTGCGTGTAGGTCGCCGGAGGGCGTCTGTTCTTTGCTCAGACAGGACGGGGTGTTAAAGGAGCCGCTGATTCGGAGGCTCTGGCTCACTCAGGCGGGGGGGGGGGGGGGGGGGGGTAGGGAGGGTCACGGAATGCGGGACGGGCCTGGGGCGGCAGAGGCCGGCGTGACGTTGCCAGCCTGAGGCGCGCCATGCGTTCTCTCCGGGGAGTTGTCCCTGGATCCCGGGACCCCTGCCGTGGCGGGCTGCACAGGCTCCCCTGAAGGGGGGTGTGGATAGTGACCTGTGTTCGCACACAGGCTTCCCGGTGGCGGCAGCAGCGGCCCTAGCGTCCCATGTCCATCTCTGGGGTCCGCACTTTTAGCCGCGGCTCGCGCCCGTCTCTGGAGCTCCCCCAAGCAGCGTTCTCAATCCCCTCTCCTCGCGCACCAGGAAATAAAGAGGGAAGAAAAAGTCTCTTGCCTCTTCGGCAGGTCCAGACTTTTCCCCGGACTCCCTCCCGGCTAGCCGCGGCGCACTAACGCCCTGCAGGCTGTGTTCACGGCGCCAACCCCAGTCCTCTCCCGGCGCTCCGACTGAAGCCGGAGCCTCAGCTCCCAGCCCTCGCCCGCCCCGGCGGGTGAGCAGACAAGCCTCTCGGCTGGTGAGTGCTGGTCGGCCCTGATCCTCTGCGCTGGAATATCTCCGCTTTGCCCTCCGCACCCCTGTTGCTGTGCTCTTCTCCGCGGCTGCGAAGCTCCGCGGCTGCGAAGCTCCCCGGCTGCGAAGCTCCCCGGCTGCGAAGCTCCCCCGCTCCGAAGCTCCCCCACTCCGCCACCCGCAGTCTCCGCCCGCGAAGGGGCTTCCTAGTGTGTGGACACTTTTTCTCCTTCACAGCTCCCTCCCGCTGGTGCAGGACCCGTCCCTATCTTTTTGTCTCTGTTTATTTTTTTCTTTTGCCCTAACCAGGTACGTGGGGGGTTTCTTGCCTTTTGGGAGGTCTGAGGTCTTCTGCCAGCGTTCAGTAGGTGCTCTGTAGGAGTTGTTCCACGTGTAGATGTATTTCTGGTGTATTCTTGGGGAGGAAGGTGATCTCCGCGTCTTACTCTTCCGCCATCTTCCCGGAAGTCCTAAAACTAAATTCTAATAGAGCAAAAATATAACTTATTTCTGCATAGAATCCATGGAAATGCATGTATTGAGCACTTATGTGCAGGCATAGTACTTTGTGCTAGGAGTACAAACATAGATGCAGCCCACTTCCTGTCTTCAAACATCTTAAATACTAATTAGAGAGAGACAAGGCCATAAATAAATAAAGGCAAAATGTGTCACAGGTGTTGTGTTTGAAATGTGTTCAAGGCAGTTCTCCAAGAGAGGATGTGGTCAATTACACAATCAGTCATGAGGTCAAGGAAGGGTTGGCAGAGAAGGTAACCTTTGAGTTGAGCATTGAAGATAAATAAGTTTGGCCAGGGAGATGAGGGGAAGGGAACAGAAAACAGTGTAAATATAGACATGATAATGTAATAACCCAGAAGGCTTGTGCAAGTGGGAAAGGCAGCTGTGGGTTTCACTGAAATGAAATCTGTACCATCAGGTGCTGTCAGGTGGAAATCGCAGGGTAAGTAGCATATTTGATAGCAACTAAGATAAGGCTCCCTTGCAAATTGAACTTGAAACAAGCTAGATATAAGTACAGATCTATTAAGGCAAAGTGCTTCATGTGTCAGTATCTATTAACTGCTTGATGCTGAGATGTATTTGTGCTGAGTGGCAGGAGCTAGTGGGCCTGCCAGTCCCAGTTGGGTATAAGACCAAGAGAGGTTTTTCCCAAGGAGAAGTATTTGCTTACAAGTGCACACAACCCCTGTTGTATTACAATGTGATTATACTTCAGGCTCTTCTGAGAGATAAAATTATCTATGATGGAAATCGGAGGGGAGAGCACAATGCAGGGCTGGGGGCTAGTTGACAGCATGCAAGATCAAACTCTCTTTTAAGTTGTATCAGACAAGGGATTAACATTAGATTTTGTGATATTTTTGACTGACACTCATATAGTTCCATTAAGAATAATCTTGGGAAATTATCTGAATGCATCTACTTAAATGACAAGAATGGATGATAAATTATATCTCCATAGCTGTCCGTGAAAAGAGGGGAAGATTCAGACACTGGGGATTAGGCTTTGCTCTGTACTTTTGCAATTGTATTATTTCCCCATCTTAAATTAGTGAAGTCGAGCCAATGGTTTTCCCTCGTTCCTTGGAGAGCAAGCATATCACACTATAAGGAAGTCAGAATTCTCCTTCTGTTTTGTTTATATCATCTGCAAGATACCATATTACAAATGTTCCTCACTGCGAAGAAAAATGCACATGCCTACACAGAATGATATCTGATTCAGCGCTGTGTTTGTATTTATCCACTATGTCCCTCTGAAAGGACAAACACATGCATTTCCTTTACCATCTGATCTTCATTTTATTCTAACCCTCTCTTTACCGTCCATACAGGGCTCTGTAGCTTCCAGCCCAGATTTATGAGATAATGGACTAGTGCTGCTGCCTCAGGGATCAGATGCAACAGTGAAAGTTTTGAGTTCAGTAACATTTTTAAATGATATTTTTGCTGTCTTTCCCCAGTATTTTTTATGCACTTTACATTTACTGAGTTTTGTGAAACCCTGTGGCTCTTCCAGCAACAACCAATTACGACTCTTTGTCCTGTTGCCCAGGGTTAAATTTGATTGAAGCAGGACCAGGTCTGAATGTCCAATGACCATTTTCAGATTTCAGCAAAATTAATAATGTTGCTTTACCAGTGAAAATGTCTTGAAAGGTTTAGTTTTACTGATTGAGTAGAAATTGGGAATATTGCTATTACTGTAATTCACATGCTTCAGGCTACACCCGTGTGCAGGTAAGGATAATGCTTCAATAACATTTACGAAAGCAAGTGTACATTCACCAGTCCTTCCTCTCCCTTTCCCCCAACATTTCTGGGAAACCCCAGAATCTTTTATGTAACCCATGGACCAGTTAGTATTCTTAGCAACTTCAAAAGAATTAGCCATTTTTCTCCTCTTATGCTGTGGCTTGCTCTAATGATGTCTGCTATTTCAATATTCTGTCTTGCTGTCCCCACTAAACCATTTAAATGTTCTAGTAATTTTAGTATCTTTCATCTAGGTCACATCATCCCAGCTTCTTCTTGCCCCTGAAAGCAAGATAAATATAATTATTCAGACCATGAGCTACACTTTCAGACTGAAAATATTGGCACAGCTTATATCATCATGTTTTCCAGTAAGAGGATCACTAGTTGTTACTTGTAAATCTTTCTCTTTTTCAGATTTTTTATAAAATAGGATATGATCTGTAGTCAAATGAGGCAAATCTATTCCATTCATTAATTTTCACTGTCTGTTGGAAGAATAGGGAGTAGGAAAAATGTTCCTGGTTTGACAACCCTGCATAATTTACCCATCCAGTGAAATATCCTGTCTGGGTCAAACTGAAATGAGCCACCTTGTCAGTTAGTACTGGCGTCTTCTCCAGTAAATAGGTCTGTCTCTTTGTACTGCTCCATTGTGTGGAGAAAAAGGTTCCCCAAAGTGAGAGTTGTTAGTTTATTGTGGTACACAAGTCTTTAGTTCTGTGTTGGCCACATGGCTTCGATTTCTAGAAAAAAAGATCGTCCCTTTAAAATCTCTTCCCCCTGGGGTAACTGTAATTTCTCAAAAGTATATGGCAGATGAGGCAGCTTTTGGTAAACATTTATATAATGCATTTCAGCTGGACTGTAACTGGGCTAGTAGAGCAAGTAACACCCATTCCCTAGCATCAGTTGCATAGTTTGATTTATATGAGGTTGAGGCACCCACTGGGAATCCAACTCAAACAACAGTGGAGTTCAGGTACATCTAGAAGGCTGGAGGATGGGTAGACTCACTGGTAGCCAAAATGCAAAGCCAGGGTAAATATGTTCCACAGAATGAATTGATCATAATAAAAGATGAAGTTTGGCTCAATGATCAAGATTCTGCAGGAGAGCATGAGGGTGAGAAGAAAGAAACAATTCTGTTTGTAATGTGTTAGCTGGTGAGAATAATGTCACCTGGAATACAACAGGTGACTCTTGCTCTTACTGGCTCTTTCATTTCTGTTCCTATCAATAGTTACACATATGGACACTATTTTTTTTCTAACTAAAAATATATACAAATGCATATTTACACACTTACATGTATAATAGATTAAGACCTTAATCTGTATGTTGGAGCAGCATAATTACATTCACATATAAGCATCTGCATATGAAAGTCCTTGATTTGCATGGACAACTATAAGTACTCTTTTTCTTGCTTATGCAAATGAAGAAACACCTTTGGAAAATTGGCCTCATAATTTCTAATTATATATCATTGAGTGGTGCACACAGGTTTAGGAAAGGAATTGGCATCATTTTAAGAATTAGAAGTCATTTAGGCAGATCTTCTCTGGGAGAAGTGCTTCACAGAAATCTTTTTTCTAATAATGCTTAAAAATTGAGCATCCAGTAGTCCAAACCTGAAAGAGGTAAAGGACTGATTTAGTGGTTCCTGGATAAGCACAGAATGGCATACTTTTCTTTTTTTAATTAATTAATTAATTAATTTGTGGCTGCGTTGGGTCTTCGTTGCTGCACATGGGCTTTCTCTAGTTGCGGCTAGCAGGGGCTGCTCTTCGTTGCGGTGCGCGGTCTTCTCATTGCGGTGGCTTCTCTTGTTGCGGAGCACGGGCTCTAGGCGCACGGGCTTTAGTAGTTGTGGCTCGCAGGCTCAGTAGTTGTGGCTCTAGAGTGCAGGCTCAGTAGTTGTGGCACACGAGCTTAGTTGCTCCACGGCGTGTGGGATATTCCCGGACCAGGGCTCGAACCCGTGTCCCCAGCATTGGCAGGCGGATTCTTAACCACTGCGCCACCAGGGAAGTCCCCAGAATGGCATACTTGACTCCACTTGACTATCACATGAAGAATTTTGTAAATATTTTCATTAGAAGCAATCAGAGGATTGCTTGTTTATAATCTTTGCACCACAGAGGATTGGAATCCCTGAAAGGAAGGAACAGTAGGGAACCATTGGTAAAGTTTAAAAGGGTCAAAGCTCAGCTTAGAAGGCAAGGTGCCATCCTAGACATTTTCAGTCATATTCCCAGGTTCCTGTCTCTGCAAATAAATTTCAAAGTGAGTTAAATATTTCCTAAGGGCAGTGAAACTCACATTAGGATTTTAGCAGTTGTCCAAAAGCCCAAGATCTCTCAAAAGACTGATTATTTAGCATGATCTTTATTGTCGACGTTCTATCCATAGTGTTTGGTCTGTCTCAGGGTGTTTCTCCCAGTTATCAGTTATTTAGATATATGTGAAATTGCTTCTTGTCATGAGCATGATCAGGAGGAGGACATTTTCAGTTCTATCATTTATGTACTTTCAGTAATTACACTTCATTTATTGGGTCATGGGAAATGGCATTTTGTTTCTAAGTGAATAGAGTTATAATGAATTCACTTCAGATAGTTAAATCTTAAGTCTGTAACTGAGGCAACTCTGCCCTTATAAAATCACTCTGTCATAAGCCTTTTTCCTCCCTGTTTATCTAAGAATATAGCCATCTTGAACACATGAAACAGATGCCTCTTAGAAGGCTGCTGACTTCTTTTTCCAAATGGAGGTTGAAAAATAGATCTTATGAAAGGGCATCAGGACACTATTTTGGGGACACATAACCATAGTCCAGTGACTAAGGTTCAAGTAGGATGTATTCCCAGCTGGGTGGGGTGAGCCATCTCCTTTCCCTTCCTGTGAGGCCTGAATGGATTTGTATCTCTGCCAGGAAGGATTCTGGGCATCATTCTCCCCACACATTTCATTCCTGTACTTTTATATGTGTTTTATATCTGTCATTGCTTTGGCATATTAATTAAATTTAAACCTAGAATTGATTCCCAGTCATTTCATTCATATATATACATATATATATGTATATATAATATATGCATGTATATTATAGAGAGTTGAGAATATATATGAATACATATAAAACAAAATATATGTATACACATATATACAATATATATATGTGTATATGTGTGTGTATTCCAACTGAAAAGTCCATCCATAAGGATAATGAAGTTTTTTCCACTCTCATGGAAGTAGGTTTTTAAATCAGAAAAAAATTTTGAGAACACTTCAGTAATTACAACACTTTTAATGTCTGTGATAGATCTTATGTTTTTGAAGGTAGGCAAGTGTAATAGTCCCTAATTTATAGATGAAAAAACTGAGGCTGAGGGGGTTGAAATGATCTGTTCAAAGTGATAACGCTAGTCATGCAAGACCCACTGCTGAACTCAACCTCAGGGACCCTAGTTTGGTGTTTCTTCTGATACCACCGGGCCTATGTCTTCCTCTCTTGTATGTCTAACAGCACCTACCACAGCCTTGGATAAAGCTCAGAGTTTAAGCTAATACTTGTTAAATTGATGAAGGCTTCTTCCTTAGAGATCACACAATATTCCCAAATCAAGTATGCTTAGTGGTCTCACCTGTTAGCCCAACTATAATATCTTGAAAAATGCC